TCCTTTGAATCTATATATCAAGCAATCAATACGATTTTCCATTTCTCCGTTCCATTTTTCTTCCGTCATTTTTGTCGCGTCGGAATACAGGGATAGATAGATAGATAGATAGAATAATCCTTAACTTTTCTATTTCGACTTCGGCACCTTACAAGCAGCGTATCTATCATATTTGATGCCTTTGCCAGATCGATCTTTTCTTTCTAAAGAATCACAGCGAGCGAATGAGTTAGCGATAAAATATTATCTATCCCGCTCTGCATCCACCACTGACTATATACAGTCCTTTGTAAAGGCTTCTATAATCAGAACATAGAAAGTCCACTTTGCCATGAGCATTTGAGATCAATACTAGGAGATCTCGGTATTGGTATGATCAATAAAGAAGTCTTGAGATGTTTCTACCTCGGCCACTTCCAAGCAATTGCTTCAAACAAAACTTGATAGGATTCAACCTTATCGCGTAGRTACCGATAGCTCATTTAAAATAATGGTTAGCTTACTGGGGCCGAAGAGCCTACTACGCCTCTTGCAAACTACTTTGTATCAAAAGGATCTTGCGACAGCACATTTTCTAAAAACTTAATCACGCATGTGGAGCGGGAATTTCAGACCCGTTCCCATTCCATCAACTAGCTGTCTTTTCTTCTCAGTTCGTCAGCTTTGCAATGACCCTAGAACTCGTACTAGTACTATCTCGTAGTGACACAATGCCGCTGAGAGCGTGGTTTCGAGGCTAGGCATGCCTTCACTAGCCATGAAGGAATTCTTAATTACCTTTCTAGTAAAATCAACTTTATATCTGAATTTCYGAACGCTCTTATTGRAAAACCCTTTATTTATAGTTTATAAGTCGCACGAAATACACGTGTAAGTTTAATTAAATATGAGATCTGTTGTCAGTATTTGAGAATAATTAAATTGCAATGTTTGCTCACCTTTGCCAACGATGGCTCATTTAGTTGGCAAGAAGTCGATACTTCTAAATACATATATATATTCACATAAATTTTACGTAAGTATATTTGTTTACACTCACTCATTGGAAGTGCTCAATAAATAAAGCGGTCGGAGAGCATTTTGTTGTGCTCTGTGATCGGCTATTCGCTCGCAGCCAAACAAATACTTCAATTTTAAAATGAATAATTAAAAGTGCATACATAAATATGCATATATTAAATGCACTTATAATCTTCAAACGGGTGGCGCTCGGTTCATGCGAAATACTGGTGAGTCGTGTAATCGATTTCTGAGAAAACCTAGCTAGGTAGATAACAAATATGATAAATTCGAAAAGGGTAACAGCTAATTTCGCTGAACTTAATAATTAAGGGCTASAAGAACTGAAATAAAGAAACATTTTGATTTCTTTTTATATTTTCTGCAAATTGCACAATGTAATCTGCAGGAAAAATACCCGCGCGCAATGATYCACCCTTTATAAATACATATTTCACTAGTGTATGTGTTGCGTGCGAGATCCAACAAATATTTGACAATCGCGTGAACTAATATAAGTGCTCATATATGCATACAACAGTGTAAATAAACTGCGCCAAGATCACTGCGATCACCAAAATCTTACCTTAAACTTGAAACTTTGTATTGGTTTGCTGCTTATTCAGTAGTAAACTGACTCTTCTCGGCGTCGGCAAAACGCACGTTTTTTTCAGTTTGTTTAGCTTTTTARCAGCTGCTCTTTTCTTCTTATTTTAATTGAATTATCTCTGAATTATCTCACGGAGCGCTCACACGCACGCTGCTTCACCGGTTTCAAAGCGATGCTAACCGACCGAAAGCGAATTTTAGACTGAGCAAATCGCTCAATGTGTAGCTGAGAGTAGTAGAAATGCACAATTGACAATAAAAGATTAAAAATATATGAGTAAGCACTCGCAAACGCAAATACTCAAGAACGTATTATTAAGTGTTAGTGAAATTATTTTGCTTCTTTTATTTATTCCGGGGAAAAACAARTACTAAATGTGTAATTTTTAGCTACAGTGGCTCACAGTATAAAACCCGAAATGTTTCAGTTAAATTATAAGTTTTTGTATGGACAACATTTTTATTTTACAAATTATCTTCACAAAATTTGGTTGGGAGTTTTAATCAAGGCACCGCTACAATCTCCGATATTCTTCCGATCAGACCATTAGAGTACGTAACTGCCATATAGTTCGCTTTTATACTCATGCAACCTGTTTTGCTACCAAGTATAATAGTTTTGTTTACCTAACGGCTGTACCTTACCTAAAACTAATCGAGATAGCTATGGAGTTATGTATATATAAACGATCAGGCCGAGGAGAAAACTTGAACAATTTTTTTGGAAAAGTGGTCGTGACCCTGTAACAAGTTTAATGTGCATAGCTCCTAAAACACTTAAGCTACAACAACYAAGTTTGCTGAATACAAACCTTATAAAAAAATCTGCTGATAGTGTGAAAATGGATAAAATCGGAGAAAATTTCCGCCCACTCCCCATATAACGGTACTGTTAAAATATACTATTATAAGCACAATAAATCCGTAACTAAATACACCGGAGGCATTAAGTTGTTACCACCGAAATGGTATAGAGACCTTTATAGAACCCTGTTTGAATATTGGATTGCACTTTTTTTGGTGAAATCCCATATCTCTGGACCCGATCAAAACGATTTCGACAAAACTTAGTACGTGACATTCTTTTTACATGGTCAAGACCCTGTGTACCGAATATTTAGACCCCGGTACATATAGTTGACTTTTGGTGGAAAATGTCGGCCAATGTATGATATATATAACTGAAAAAATAAAGGGATAACCCTTCTCTTATAATGGTATATATCTATGTCAAAAATGGGTTGAATCGGAAAACTTAGCKCCCACATACTTAATATAAAGATTTTCGAAATTCGGGCTGACAATATGTGAGTTATCCCAATGRAAATAAGAGAGCGTGTTATATTCATACATAAAAGTATATCTTTGTGCCTAAAATAGATAAATTTGAGCAAAASTTTGCCTAGTCCCTATATAACTGATATCAGAACTTTCGAACATCCGGCTGACCTTACTCTATATGATTGGTTTTAAACCTTAAAGTAKTTGCCTGGCTTTGATTCTTGTATGTTACAAGAGTATAAAATTTTCAGTTGCATCCGAACCTATCCTTTCCTTACTTGTTTAGTTGTCTTTATTTTGTTTATGTTTAGTCATAAGCTGTGTGCTCTTTGCCAAGAAACTGTTAGCGTCTGTTTTTTTTATGGACGTATTTGGACTATCAAATTGACATAGGTACTTATTATATTATTTATGATAGATTTGATCAGAAGTTTATGACTTCTTTGTTTAGATTTGTTTAGTTATAATTTCGACTTGCAAATGTTTTGATGAGCTCATCTGCCCTTTACTATCCAAGCTATGGAATATTTTGCTAGAGTTGTAATTTTGTACGAAAACTACTTCCATTAGTACTCTAAAAGTATTGAGATCGGAGTGATATCCTTCACTGCGTTTCGCCGCCTTTTGAATTATTTTATATAGTCGTTATCCAGGCGTGTGTGATCTCTATTTCTTTAAAGGTAAGGCCGACTAATGTTATTATATTACGAATTTATATATGGTAAACATTTACGGCTATATAAAATGAATTGGACCAAGTTTCTCGAGAGTTTGAACAAACTTATCCAAGGATTTGTTTTAAGATTTTGAAATAACAAACAGAGATMTAAGGAATGGTTGCAACTGTATGTGATGAGACTTTTTCTGCATAAAAATATTGCACTCCACGGAATTAGAGTGTTTGGGCTCTTTCAACGTGTAATTAAAACTCAATTTTTAGAGTCAACATACCGCAACCAATTACTTCGGTGTTAACATTTTTGAATACATGAGCAACTGCAGCCAACTTATCGAAAACTGCAACAAAAATCGCAAAATTTTTGTCTAGTTCGGCTTGGCTAGGTGCTGAAATCATTTGCAACATAGTTATCCTCCTGCGGCAGCTTTAAATTTATGTCCACAGAGTTGCAACCAAGAGAGAAATAGTTGCAGATAGCTTATTGGCCTTAWCTTGGGAATACTTCGGTACAACTATGGAATTTCAATGATTTCCGTGAATGCGCCTGAAAATTTCACAACATGTATTATGCAATGTGGCACGTGCCATGCCGCTGTTTCATAGTCAGCACGTTGCACAAATCAAGCGCTCGACGGCCTTCAATCAAAGTGAACTGACCATGCGGCCGCAAATAGAAGATGCTCAACGTCAGTCCATCGTTTAGCGTAAATTCCAATACATTATCGCATAAAGCCAATACATGCACAAAATAGTTGTTTAAGCCGTTTGTGCCTTGCAGGGCAGTTGTGGTCATTTAAAGTAGTAAGTGAAGCTTTCAGGAATAACTTTCGGTTAGGTTAGSTTAGATTAATCTGGTCTGCCAATAAGCCAAGCATGGATCAGTTTCGGTGCTTCGCAATACCAGCTGGAGTTCAGTTGCTGGGTCCAAGAGGAGTACTTATTCTTTAGGATGCCTACCTTGACGCGAGTTTTAACAGATTTTGCGGCCGATCCCTTCTCCAGTGGATCATACCAAGGGGACCCCAGATGCTTACAGCTTTAGAGTGACTAATTGCATTCTGTAAGAAAAAAAAGTATGGATCGTTTGAGTTGCAAACAAATTAAATAACTCTCTCGCTCTCTATTTTGCTCGCTGATCAGATATTTGTTCATATATTATTGCTAATCAGACTTCATCGACACAAGAGTGTTGCAATTCGTAACCACTTCTCGAAAACCTTCTTTGCTAAAATACCGTTACTCGCAAACCGGCAAAACGTTGGTCATTGCTCCGGTAGGGTCTATAAGTAGCGCCTCTAGTCTGTGCGAGTGAAAAGAAGTTGCTGTAACTTTCGCCGGCTGTCTGCGAAATTCGTACACTTGAATGTACGAGAATTTTGTTTATTTCGTTTTACATGTCGATTTAATTTAACTTTTTTAACACTTTTTTCAGAAAAAAAAAATTGGTATGAACAGAATGACAACTGGGCAACGCCAAAATATATACGACATTACTAAAGCTACCACAACCGAGTTGAGAGTATCGTGCTAAAACAACAGTAATAAAGCAGCAAGAACAGCAAACTTGGCAGACAAGCGCTGWGCGTGTGGAGCGACGGGCGCAGGGCGTTGTGAAAATGGTTGAAACGATGACAATTGCCAGTTGTTGCAAGTAGCGTAGAAACTGTCAAAAACTTGTCAAACCAGCACACACAAGTGGCAGCGCACAGAAGCTGCAAGGGAAGTGGGACGACAACAATACGAGCCGCACACAAGAAACACTAGAACAAGCTGCCGCGGTGAAGACAGCACAAACTAGTTTTTGTGTGAAGAAAAAAACATAAATAAAATTTACGTTGTTTTTGCACCAAAGTCCTTTTATTTGTCTTGGGCGACACGAAGAACAAGAGCAACTAATAAATCCAACAAAAGAAGTAGCACAAGCCTTACTCGAACCAAACAAAAAGCATAGTTAAGCGTCGAAACATTAAACCGGCAGTCAGCACCCAGAAAAGGAACAACAACCTGACCCGAAGCTACTTGACGGCGACGACTTGAAGGAGCGCACGAAAAGCACAGCAAAGCCATAAAAGAGCTTGAGTTTCGCAGAACACAGCAAAAGGTGTGACGAGGGCCGACAGTCGTTGATGTGACAACGCTGCTCATACGAATTTGCAGCGCCAAAAGTCGGGGACGGCTACGAGGCGACGAACGAAGGGCGCTCCTCGTGTACTTTTGATTGGAACTGCCACGTTAGTGTGCGTAAGAGAAATGTAATCATGCAGATAATGCGAGCATACCTTCAAACGGCAACAATAACCACTGCTTACTAATAGCTGYCACAATAAAAGCAACAACAACACTGAATAATCCCGAAGAGGGCACACACAAATCATAAGGACAATATTCACAAGGGAGCAAAGTGAGTGAAAGCACGCTTCCTTGCTGGCAAGATATTCAAATCAAAAGACGCAGCAGCTGCAACAACAACAACGGCACACACTAGCCGACGGCAGAAATAAATGAGCAAGATTGTTGGCGCACTGCGTGCAATATGTCCGTGAGGACATCGGAATTCTACGCCAAAGAAAAGCGCGCAGGGCAAAGCAAGACAACTGGAATGTAATATTGTACAGCTAACGGTGAACAATGTCTGTTTGATATCATAGCAACAGTAAAGCTTAGCACAATAACAAGCAACCAAAACCAAAAAGCAAGACAAACAAACAAAAATCAAAACAATTACCTCAGACGCAAAGGCAAAGCGTCAGTGGCAGATTGCAGCGCTACGTCAACGACAATATACGCAAGCAGCAGCAACAGCAATCGGTCYATACTGCCACCGGAGTGTGACAGCAGCGAATAATGCGCCAAGACAAGGCACTACAACACGCCAGCCGAACGGCAGCCACGAGCAGCACCCAAGACGAAACGCCAACGCCAGCAACAGCCACAGCAACAGCACAAGTGTCCGCCGCAATGCTGCAGCAACAACAGCGCGTGCACAAGGCCGCCACACAGCCAGCAGCAGCACCARCGGCTGCACCAGCATCAACACGGTCGGCGCGTGCAACAAAAGTCGAAACCGAAACCGAARACGAAAACATGCCCTGCGCGGAGCACCGTGTTGACATGAGATGTCCAAACAGTATTCCACATGCTGCGCAGCAACAACAACAAATGTCCAACACAGACATGGCCTTGAGYGCCGGTGCAGCATTGGGCGGCAGGAGCGGCAGCGCAGCGACGCACAAATCACACGGCCAGCAAACGGCAATGCCAAATGCAGTGCACGCAGCCACCGCCGCCGAACTGCCAACGACAGCAGCAACAACAAATTGCAAAACAGTGCACGCCAGTCGCCTGCCAGCAGTTGATAAGGACAACGATAACAAAAGCATGAACRCAAGCWACAGCAGCACATTGTTGAYACAAAAACAACAACAACAGCAGCAACAACAACAACGAACCGTGGCCACCACAAAGTCAACGCCACCAGCTGCAGAGAAGGCAGACAGCGCATTCCGCACATCAAATATTTTCGCAGCCGTCTGYCGCGGCTACAGCTGGACCAGCGCCAAGGATCGCACCAACAGCAAAGCGCTCTTCCATCTACTAAATATGATTTTTTTCATGCTGTGCCTCATTGCGTGCGCTTTGGCGATGTACAGCATTGTGCGGCATTCGCGCAACGAGCAGCGGTTGMGGCAAGTGTTGCAACTGGACGAACGAATAAGTGCACTGGAGCTGCGGCTGCAATTATGTGAGCAGCGCCAACAACCAWGGCAACAGCAACAGCAACAGCAACATTTCGATTTGGACACGAACCGGCCGTTAAATAATGAGCGTACCAGCCCGGAGCTGGACACCATCGTTGATTTGCATAATCAGCCAGGGGCGCCACCAAAGCAAATGTCTGTGGATGTGACACAAACGCTGCAGCGATTGTCGCGACAGGTGAGCGATTTGCATCGTTTGCGTCGTGATGTTTCGCATTTGCAAATGTCGCGTCGCCAACAGCAGCGCCGGCAGGCGAGTTTGGCGGCGGCGACCACCGCCGATGGACTACTGTTGCAGACACCGCAGCAAACGCATTCCGGCGAGTGTGGTTGTACGGCAGGTGAGTGACTTATAATCAACATACACACACACACCTAGAAACATATTTTTTAAGCCTTGTATTATAGATGAATTTTTGTTTTTAACACTTGTACGAAGGTATAAGGTTGCTGCAGATTCAACCTTTTCTCATCGTTTTTGCAAGTATTTTTGTTCAATGWTTACTCACTTATTTATAATATTCTACAAGATTTCTTCTTTATTGGCGAGGAMACTCTTACGCGRTTATAGCCGAGTTTACAACAGCGCGCTAATCGTTCTTCTTTTCCRCTGTTTGGCGCCAATTGGAGGTTCCAAGTGTAGGCAGGTTCTTCTCCATCTGGTCTTTCCAAAGGAATGTCCTTCTCTACTTCTCCCGGCAGGTACTGTGTTGMATACTCTCGGGGCCGGGGTGTCTTCTTTCATTGGGACGACATGACCTAGAGTAGCGTAGCTTCTGTTTAATATGCTAAACTGTGACAATGACGTTGTATATCTCATACAGCTCTTAGGTCCATCGAATGCGATATTCACCGAGGCACATAGAAATTTTTTCTCGAAAACTCGTACCGCCGACTCATCAGACGTTGTCATCGAAGAGTGACTTATAGAGTTTGGTCTTTGTTCGTCGAGAGACGTCTTTACTGGTCAATTGCTTACTCAGTCCGAAATAGCACCTGTTGGCAAGAGTTATTCTGCGTTGTATTACGAGACTGGCATTGTTGTTGGAGTTGCTACTGGTTCCAAGATAGACGAAATTATCGACGACTTTCAAGTTATGACTGTTAACAGTGACGTTGGAGCCAAGCGAGGGCGACGACTGTTTCTTTGGTGGCAGGAGATATTTCGTCTTGCCCTCGTTTACTACCACACCCATTAGCTTCGCTTCCTTATCCAGTCTGGAGAAAGCGAAAAAAACGGGAGGATGTTTAGGCCGATGATATCAATATCTTCGGCGTACACCCGCACCTGCACACTGTTCGAATAAGCCCTGCGACTCGAATTATTTCTCCAGCAGTAAATGGAAGATATGCGCCTTGTCTGAAACCTTTTTTGGTATCGAACGGCTCGGAGAAGTTACTTTCTTCACTTGCGTGCACTTTTATACACGACTCCATCCTCCGAATTAAACATTTTAGAAGATTCCAGGTTAATACGGACGATGTGTCGATTTCCTTGGTATTTAGATCCGATAAAAGGTGAAGTTTTGAAAGCGCAGGGAAAAGGTAAAAAATTTACCGTTTAGAGATGATGGTCAGCTCAAATGGTTCAAACTGAAACGAACCGAACCGAATGTACGTATTGYTTTAAAGAAAATCTAATTTCTAATGACATCAGATACATTTAGTATTTAATTTCAAAGTCGCTCCCAGATCCGACACTTTCAAATTTGCCTCTACGATAAGTCCAATATGTTCTTTGGTATCCTTAGAGTGCCAGTTATCAGTGGAGCGCGATCTCGGCCAAATCCATTTTACTGTCGTAAAAAATCATTTTGTGGACCTTTTGATGGGTTCTGAAGTTGGTACGGTCTACAGGTAATTAGAAAAATGATCATAGCTAGTTACAACGCTTGATGCAGGGCTGAAATAATACTTATCATACCACTTCTTGGTAACAGCAGAATATTTTTTTTTTCATTAATTAATAACTGAACATCCTCTATCTCTCAAAGTTATATTAATTATATTTCTCAACATTTGCCCTACAGCTTTGTAATTCATGCACGTGTATTTTTGAGYTTAGGTCTAACTAGAAAAAATGCTAATTGTTCAACCTGCCTGCTGGTCCTGAAACATGAAAATAGCTATTAAGTGGATTCCAAAGGTAATTTTGCAGAATATTATTAATTTAAATTCTAACAATCCAGTACTGTGTGTGTGGGGCTGTAACACACTCACTATCCTATTCCCATTAACTGAGGAAATCAGTTTAAAATCAATGTGATAATTTCTCTGACAACATTACGCCTGCCGCTGCAACGCAGAGCTAATCGTATCGAAATACCAATTGAATTAATGCGCAGTTACTGCCGAACTTACGCACACACCATACCCCGAACACATACTGACCAAGTCCACTAATATTATATACACAGCCACAAATGGGAATTTAGCTCGCGCAATATTTATCTACATGCATGTGGCATATGCACCTATGCTCGGTAATTACAGAGGAATGTTTAGGAAGCTAACCAAATTAACGAACCCTCCGGATCTGTTGGACCAGTAATGTGTGGTAATTATTTACGTGCAAATAGCAAAATCAGCTTAGGTCTCCTAATGCGTACAAGTTATCTGCTCACTGATATACATATGTATATGTATACARGTGTYTCCYTTAACTCTTSTGCTCTTAGTCACTGAATATATTTGTATAAAGCCGCTCTCCTAAGAACTTAATGCAACCAAAAAATTAATTTAGCTTAATAAATATATTGTGAAGCAAAGGGCATACAAATACATACTGACTTACTTAGAAGCTCATACAGAAGTTTCTTCCCATTGCAAAGTTTCGGGGAAATTAAAAGTACGGCTGGTTTTTTTTAACTTAGATGTTAAGACTGAGGCTGAAAATTGATAACTCTACGTCCATGCCGTAATAGTTGTTAGCAATGACAGTCCCGTCTGGGTTTTCAGGTAGGAAAAAAAGCTTTGATGCAATAATACGAGTACACTCTGTCTAATAATTCTGTGTCCGCGAACAATTTTCTTCCCATGTTCAAGACCCCATYAGCGGAGAGCTGTATTCCATATGAGTATTTGTACAAACCTTGCTAATTATTTTCGGGTGACTCGTATCTAAAGCTGTTCCTAACCATCCAAATGTGCGTACCTCGACTTACGAGCATAAATGTGAGAGTGTTTGCATTGCTTGCAGGGAAGCATTTGCACATTTTACTAAATTTGTTGGTTTTACGTCGTACTTCGGCTGCTGTTAATGCTCTTGACCGCAGCGTCTGCGAGCCACAATTAGCAGTTTAGCCCCACAGTTRCATATACATATACACACATAATAACACCCACGTAAGTACCTATATAAGCTTCGCGCTGCAGTTCGTTCCGTCACATCCTCACTTTCTCGACCTTTGTACGAGAGTTTGCGAACCCGCCAACTTGCACAAAGTATCAGTCGTTTATTCACTTCTCTCATGTCTTGCGGCCAAAGTTTGTTGTTTTATTTTCTTCTCTCCCTACCCTCCTCAGCCAAGTCTTGCTATTGTTCTTATAAATACAGACTCGTAATTTCTTTCTTGTTGATGCCTTATCCACCTCCGGCTGTCGTTTATTCCATTTCGTCCAGCACTTCGGTCCGGCGCCTGAAGGGGCAGGGTCGCTGCTTCTTTGTGGCTCCCATTTTTGCTGTTGATATTTAATTACTTGAGAGGGTGGCAAATTTATGGTAGTTTAGAGATTTCATTAATTGGAAAAGCGTTGCCAAAGAAGTTGGGAGAGTGCGTGTGTGTGTATCTATCACATATTAGGTGACTCGCCGGTGCTGTGTAAATGAAATTGGCCACAGCCAGTGTTGAATATAAATATATATTGTAGTATGTGGATATGTATGCATGACTCACTGTGCACTTCCGTGTTGGATTTGGAATAGCTCTCTTCGACTTGACGTGCCTATTTAGCTTACTAAAGTTAATGGTGCGATAAATTTGGTTAAGGCTAACTTTTTTCGTACACAATGTAAATATGTATGCATTTGTTCTCATATTTATGCAGCAATGTGAAAACAATTTATTTATTTTAATATTAGCAAATTGTTTTGTACATTGCCGGTGCATAAACACGCTTCAGTAATTTGATGAGAGTATTTAGTTGATCTGAGTGCTTAGGGTTTTCAAAATCATTCTTTTTATCGAAAATAATGTCATTGTAGAGGAATATAATTAGTAATTGTAAGAATTTTTATATATTTAATAAGATGTTGTATCACTTGAGAAGGACGAGCRACTTCAGCTTCAGCTTCTTGCACAAGCTGTATTTTGTACGCTTTGATCGCCATGTTAGTCSCAGTTACTGCGGACGGTGCCGAATTGACTCTCCATGGCAGATATAATGTCTTTACTGCATGCTGGTCGTGGTCTATGTAGTTGGTCGAATATTATGTAATAATGAATGCTGGGCCTTAAGATTGGTGATGGAGTTGCAAATAGTACGTTTAGTAGCCCGTTTATGTTGATCATAAGAAAAGCGAAGCGCGTGAAACTCATTCTTTACAGAATAAAATTGAACGATTTGTAAACGTTGTTCAAGCATAGGTCGATATGAGGAAATGCCTATAGCAAGGACCAGAGATTGTGCTTCGCTTTATGTAATGTATATTAGGGAATTTAAATTCAAATCGGTATGCAAATATTTTAAGTTAGGAATTCGAAAAACGATTTTATATTTGCACACACCTATTTTAAAAATGCCAAATATGCACATATCTAACACAGGTAGTCTTTTCTCGCTGTATTTTGCGTCCAATCCCCACAAAATACACTTATATTTATGTATGTCTGTATACATGTACATATGAATTTCCCGTTTTGCCTTTTTCTTTCTTTTCACTTTTGTCCTGTGGTCTGTGACCTCAAACTCTGCAAACTGCCATTACCTGCAAAACATGTTCACTTTTTCGCCTCACGCGTTCAGCCCACGCCTCATATTGCCTATCTCACTTCATCGCCGGCGCCCCTCACTTGGACACATCTAATRTATACATTTATTGGTGTTTAGCGTGTTTAGAGCTCGTGCCACTTGGGAAAAGTATTTATGTAGTTCTGCGTCGATAAAGTTTGATTATTCAGGGATTACTGTCGGATTGGTCGCACCGGTCGCTCATACACAAACATTTCAAAATCGTTAGAACGAACTGCCACAACCACATTGTTCCTTTGCTATTGTTGTTGTTGCCACTGCTGTTATCCGTTTTGCATAAATTCGCACAGACGCTTGAGGAGCCGAAGAGAGAGAGAGAGAAAAAATTCAGTCAAAATTTATTTCGGACTTGCGACGCCTGCGACGCTGA